GCCAAAACACAAATTAAATTCCCGGGGGGTTAAAAAAAAAATAAAAAAACCAAAAAAAAAAAAAAAAAAAGGAAAAAAATAGAACCACAAAGGGTTGTGGGTGGGTCAGGGTGAAGCGGTTGTGGGGGATGCTGGAAGGGGGTGCAGAGTGCGAGGAGAAAGCACTGGTTGTTGGCTCATTCTTACTGTCCTGGCCTCTTCATCACTACCTCCCAAACCCTGCACCTCCCCTGTGCCGTCCCAATGCCCCTCGCACAAGCTCTGCAGCACAGCAGGGATGTGCAGCCCCGTTCTCCAACGAGCATCACAACTCTCGAGTTTGGGTGGTTTTTTCCATGCAAAGCTCCCCCCAGATAAACCCACCTTCTTGCTTTTTGGGGGGGCGCACGGTGTTTATGGGGACGGGAGGCTGGCACAGAAAATGCTTTGCTTTGCACTTTCTCTGCTCCCCTGGCAGGGCCGATGGCCGTGGACAGAGCTGCTCTCACCACCCATCACCCCGCGCCCTGGGCTGGCAGAGCCCCCACCTCCCCCATCACCCGCAGCCCCTCTCCTCCGCTGGCTGTCCCAAACCCTCCCTGGGGCGGGCGGGAGAGGGGAGTGGGAGAGACGTGCTCCCCCAGCGTGAGAGAAGTGGGGAAGCAGGAGGGATGCCTTTGGGCTGCCCCCATCACAGCTCAGAGCATGTAGGGGGATGCCTGTGCCAGATGCAGGCAGCTGCTGAGACCACCCACCCCACTTCAGCTGCTTCAGGGAGGTGTGTGAGGATGGGTTTGGGTGGCACAGGGTGTGTCATTGCCCTGGGAGCTGATGTCTGTCTGGCAGCTGGGGATGTGGAGCTGGGGTGGCTCCGCCGTGCTCGGTGAGAAATGGGGGGTTCAGGTTGTGATGGTGGGGAAAAAAAGATGAAGAGGATGTAGCAGGAGGGATTCTGGGTGTGAAGAAAGGTCCCTGTTCTGTTAAAATTAACAATTAACTTGTTGCATAGAGCATATTCCTGCCCTCTTGGTGAAACTGGGCCCCTTCAAATAAAGTGCCTGGTAGAAAGCAACCGATGCAGGAGCCACGTCCCTTCAGGGCCAGCAGTGCTCCCGCCTGTGCCTGGCAGGGGGCTCTCCCTGCACCCCCCTCAAAGTGAGACATGGCTGAGGGCTTGCAGCACTCATCCTGCCTCCAACACCAAGGACTCTCGAAGCTGCGGGTGAGTCTGCTTGGTTTCTGCCTCATTTCCCCTTTGGTTGCAAAAGAAGGGAGGAGCAGCTGCCCCGTTGCCTCCTGCGTGCACATGCTTGGGTTTGTCGGGTGCTCCGGGGACAGATTCCCAAAGGACTGGCGATGAAGCTTCAGACGTGCTAGGAAGCTCTGACATCCTTGTCACTGAGTATTTCCCAAAATGTCGTGGTGTTATTTTTAGAGCTCTAGCATTAAGGACAACGTTACCTGTTGAAGTGAGGTGTGAGGAGCCCCTTGCCAAGACTTCATCTGGACTCATCCACTGGTGCTTTTTGGGGGGATCAGCTCTGCTCCTGCATGTCAGCTTAGCAGGCAGTGAGGCCCCGGCTGGCACCGCAAGGCCACCTTGGGGTCATCCCCCGGGCTGTGGGGACACCACTGGAGGGGGCAGTAGGACGTCCCTGGGGCTGACCTCCCTCGTCCAGAGCAGCCAGCCCGGAACTGCTGCTTTGCTCCCTCGCAGACAGTTCATCTGTGCTTTTCGTCATGCCCAGGCAATAGTTTTGGTTTGGTGGGTTTTTTCCTGTTTCTGGGGTTTTGCCCCCATGCCAAGGGGCTCCTCTGCTCCTCGAGCCCTGGCACTGCTGTGGCAGTGCCCAGCACTGGGTGCCTACTCCCAGAAAAGCTCTTTTCCCCTGTGACAGCAGATTCTGCTCAGGTTCCGTGGGAGGAAAAGCCCTCAGCCCCTTCCATTGCTTGTGCACAGCCCAGGGCTGGGCAGCAACCCGGGGACTGTGGCTCAGAGCAGCAGGGGAGAACTGTTTGGGGCAAAAAGTCTTCTCCTGGTTCTTTGCGCTCACTTAGATCCAGCCGGAAGTTTGTGCCATCGTCTGGTGCCCTGGGGAGGGCTCTAAACCTCTTGACTGCATTCCCAAGTGCTCCCCCAGCTTCCTGCAGAGCCCTGGGGTCAGGATTAGATCCGAAATAAGCCCAAGACTCCCTTCATGGCACTGCAGCCTCTCTCTCTGGCCTTGCAGATCTTCCCTCCCTGTGCTCCAAAGCAGGTGGAGAGGAGCGGCCGAGCCAGGAGCGATGGCACATACTGGGCGTGCGTAGAGGGTTGGGCGGGACGCGTGTGACGTGTTGGCACGGCCGCATGTGAGGTCAGGGAGTTTGTAAAAGAGGAGACGGGCGTGGGGTGACAAGTGATGCTGCTTTGCTGCTGGGGTGGGCTGTTGTTTGGAGTCAGCACCCCCAAAATTCAGCCCACCAGCCCGCACCCCTGAAGGTGCCAGCAGCTGATGCCTCGGGCTTGCGTCCGAGTGCCAGAGCAGCCGCTCGTTCCTTGCACCGTGGGCAGAGGCAGCTGCTGGCTGGGGTCAGGGTTAGAGCCGTGCAGATGGGAAAAGACTTGTTCAGTCATTGACTTAACTCCAGTGCAAGACTGGAGAGCGATTGCTTGGAACACGACTGTTAGATTTTTTTTGTTGTTTTATTTTTTGGTGTACATCATGGGACTCTCATGAGCAAAACTTCATTCATTTCTGCCAAAACCTTGGGGCCAGCAGAGCATATTTTTGATGAGTTCATGTACTCCCCGTGTCCTGCGGATGCTGGGCCAGGGCTGTTTCCATACAGGGATGTTTCATCTCTAGACAAAGTTCACAAGTTAGCCTTTGAGGTTAATATTCTCCAGGTGGGAATTTTATATTTCAGTGCAAACCTTTCCTCTCCCTTCCTATAACCAAAATTGAGCTCAGTCAGCAGGGAAGTGATTTTTGGGGTGGCTGGAAAGTCCCCATGCTCATGCCCGACCTACCCGAGTGCCTTGGCTTTGGGGGAGCAGCAGTGGGGTTTCTCCCTGCCTCACCTTTGAATGTGGCTTGGTTTCTTCTTTTTTTTTTTTTCTTTTTTTTTCTTTTTTTCTTTTTTCTTTTTACATCCCTAGAAAAAGATGACCCATGACCTCGTGTCCCCACGCATATGAGTGCTGGGCTTGGGTTTTTTTCCAGGCACATTTTTTTCTAAAGCAAATCCAGATGCGTGCAGCTGCTGTCCCCTGAGAAGCTCCTCCCCCACCATCAGCCAAATTGCAGGCCAGGCGAATATATGCAAACAAAAACATGTTTATTTTTACCAGCTCTGTAGGATGTAAGATGAAGCAAGGAGGGCGTCCGGGGCAGAGCTCGCAAGGGGAAGAGACAGAGATAAAGCGAACGCCCCCTCTTCGCCGCCCGTGAGAGAGCAGGCGTTGCTTAAATCGGGGAAAACTCGCATCTGGGGAGAGATGAGAACGAACAGAAAAAGGCAAAAATACCATTCCGGAGTGACAGGGCTGATAAATCCTGTGTGGAAGAGCAGAAAGGGAGGCTGAGTCTTGGCTCTGAGCACGGCTCCCCGGCTCGCACATGTGCACAGCTGCTCCCCGTCACTGCTGGTCCTGCTTCCCCCTTGCACCCACCGCCGCTGCATGGGGACCCCCTTATCTCCCCTCCCCTTCTTCAGGCCCTGCTCCCTGGGACTCGAGGGTTCACCTCCCCGCAAGCTTGGGCTGAGATGGGCTTTGCCCACAGGGCTCTGGGCTCCGCTTTGCTCTCCTTAAACAGAGGCAGGAAGGGATTGACTTCCAGAAGTCATTCCCCCAAAATTCACAGGTGAGAAGCTGGGGGCTCAGGGCACGGCACTGGCATGTGCTGGGGACCGGCTGGTCCCTCCCCATCCCTGGGGGGGATCCCCACATCCCCCAACCCCACCCGCCTTCCCCAGGGATGCTGCCGGACTGGCATCGCTGGCTCTGCGGGAAG